ACAAGTGCATACACATGCAGACAGTTCAAGTGCATATATGATTCATTCAGCCAGGTCAGACTTTCATCCTCTTAGTCTGCCTCTCAGACCGCCAGCCGTGGCAGGAAAGGCAGAAGATTGAAAAGGAGCAACGCATGACGGGTTGTTTACCCTCGGCCCCGGCAGCTGGTTAGCCGCCGCGTTGCCTGCCCGACGCCCCCCGGCCCTCCGTTGCTTTTCAATTCCAGCCAGACCCCGGGCCCGACTCCTGACTGCGGAGGCTGGAATATTGTGCGCCGGGGGATCAATGCCGAGTGAAATGTCAACTGTGCCGCTGTGATGCGTCAGGCTGTGAGGGACTTGTAATTGCTATTGATCCGCCGCATGCTTAACGCAGGGCTGGCCCACCACGACGCGAGGCAGCTGCAGAGGAAGACGTATGCATCGGAGGAGATAAAATGAAGAAAATAGAAAAGAAAGAGCCCGCAGTTTTGTCTCCCCCCCCACCCCCACCCCCTTGCATCCCTCCCTCTCTGGCAGCAGATTGATCTTCCTCTTCCTGCTGATTCTAGCCGGGGCCTGTCATTATCTTACTCTGTCATTAGGGGCTCCATTGACAGCCTTGGTCTGTCTGTATCACTCTATTGAGACAGCCACACTTTTCCCAGGCGGTGTCCTCTACTTTTATTAAAATCTCTGACAGCCTCAGCTTAGCTTTCTCTAGAACGCCGCTACCGCCGCTCTATAATCGAAGCGGCGTCCACCGGTGTCCCTAGCTGGTAATATCAACCAAGTCGAGCTGGTTTGACGAGGTTTAGACCACACGGCTGCCTGGTCTGACTTGGGAGAATCTTCCTGAATGGTGGTGTTTGTCATGAAACCAAAGTGTTGAGGCATCATAGAGCATCTCTGTCATTGTCACCGCCGACAAGGGTGTGGTGGCCTTTGGGAAATTCGGGAAATTCCTGAACGGTCGGTCCATCCATGGCCGAAATGGTCACGCGTCAGGGCCAGTCTGATTTTAAAATGTAGGAAATGAATTGGAACTGGATGCTTAATGTAATGTGAATGCGTAAAGGCAAAATATTTCTGTAACATCTCAGTGAGACTGGTGTACCTGTCAAGAATTATTTTATCCCACGTCTATGGATTTTCTGTACCTACTGTGAAACATACAAAAAGGCTCTGTTATGTTCTGGGGCTGCTTTGTTACACCCAGCATTGGGGTTGCTCAATGGGATGGAAGCTGCTGACATAGCGTGCGACAGAAAATGATTTGAACTTCAAGGCTGTAATGTTGCTTGGTGAGTCTGAAGGTGCACTGCGGAGGGTCTGAGGGGGCAGAGGTTTTGGCCTTTGGGGGCATTTATTCCAAGTATATATTTGTCATTACGTATCAAATACAGAGCAGTGAGCCGATGTAATGTCATGTTTATTCTAGTTTATTCAGAATTTCATTTCCTTCAGCACACTGACTAGATGGTCGGTTTTGTCTCTGGGTCAAGCTGCCTTGCTCCTGGCTGACAGAAATTTGTTATTTCCATCTTCTACTAACGTGTGTTATTTTTGTTTTTTTACATTATGTGTGTGTGTGTGGGGGGGGGGGTGAAAAAAAAAAAACAACCCACGGAGAGAAACGAGTGGTTCTCTCTATCTGACCTTTCTCCAGAGCCAAACAGAATTGGAATTTCAATAGACATCACCTTTTTTATTTTTATTTTTTAAGGCAGATAGTTACAGAAATGTCGCACTTAAACGTATATGGACTAACACCGTTTTAATGCAGTCTGTAATACAGCCAGCTCAGAACAAAACACACGCACGCTTCAACATAAAGGAAAAAGGTTTCAAATGATTCTTCAAGCTTTCTGTCGGGCGTGGAAAGGACATGTCAGTCCTCCTGCCTGGGAGAGAGGCTAATTATCCTTTTCCTGTCAGAGAACAACAAAATGATAGCCAAGGATGGGGAGGGCGCATTTTCCGAGGCTGAAATTTTTCAAAAGAAATTTAATTTTGAGGCAGCTGCATATGTACTTTTATCCAGCTTTTTTTTTTTCATTTGATTTTTTTTTTCTCTCTCCCATTGAACCATTTTTTTTTATAATCCATTCACGAGCTATTTGTTTGTGTCTGTGAGCCTCTGAGGGTGCATTTAACTGCCCCCATACCTATTCATAGGGCCTCACTTTCTTGCAGTCATCTTTTTTTCTTCTTCTTTTCTGTTGTGACCATTTCAACCGATTACACATTGTCTGAGTAATTTCCCTTTCAGCATCTGGGTTTTTTTTTTTTTTTTTTACCTTCCACATAAAGAAGTGAATGGAGGGAAAATTATCACAATTACTCATATAATTGAGCCACCTTTGTAGCAAGTGCAGCTTTCTGTAGCCCCCTTTTTTTTTTTCCATCAGCCAAAATGGTTTCATTATATGGGTTTTTCATATTCCCTGACACAGGACTCCGCTGAGGGCCTGGCGCGTGGATGAGATGCAGAATGAACAGAGCGTATCATTAAGGTCACAGTATGAATAATTATACCGGCTATGGAAAGAGCGTGGATGGCCTCTTTTCTCCGCTTCCCCCCCACCCCACCCCCTCACCCCCACCCAATGCTGCCCAAGTACAAATGCAACATCGGTGCCTTTTAGTCACAAAGAACTTTGTTTCAAATAGAGCTTCCACCTTCTACTTATACAAAGACGAGAGGGGGAGAGCAAGACTTGTATCAACATGACAATTTTCCGTCATTAGGCCTAATGACAGGCACAGACTGTGGGGATCAAGGGGTGCAGCCAAAGGAGAGGCGCATTCAGGTGTCGGCTGAGTGCTGACCTCCTTCCTGTCTTTGTTGGAGACTTAACTCTGAACAAAAACTAAAAAGGGGACTTGCAGACTAAAGGCGCTGCAGTGGCAGCTGAATGTCAAGCAGGCCAGGCTCTCCACGGACAAATGGCTTAATTGGCAAATTTGCATGTGGTTTAATTTGTGGGCAGCTCATTCAATAAGAGAAAGCATGTAACGTTGTTTTTTTTTTTTTTGTATTTTTTTTTCCTTTTGCACCCCAACCCATCACCTGAAAGAATGTCGCCTTGGTCAGCTGTTAACTTGTTTTCTCGATAGAGCGGGATCTTCTCTCAGCCGCGCACGCTTTCGGGTGTCTTGTTTCATTTTACAGTTAAGTTGAATTAAGTCAAAAGCTATATTTTTCAAACTCCTTCCTCCCCGCCCCAACCCCCAGACTTCACTGGGGTAATTGGTCATTTTGCAGCCCATTTCAGGCGGCTTGCATGCTGGCTGCCTTGTGGCCTGACCCCTGCTGCTGCTGTAATGGGGGGTGGGGGGGGACACCATTTCTCCCTGTTTTCTGGAGGCCTGTGCACACTGCGACCTGCAGCCTGTGAGCAGAGTTGTTTGAGTTGGAACATGAATCGGGGGGGATTGGCAAAAGATGCACTTGGGATTTTATATGTCGGTGCACTTTTTTTTTTTTTTTTTTTTTTTTTAAAGATACAACAACTTCAATAGTCAGGTGAGGGACTTGCGGTTGATGTAAACATTCATTCAGCTTTTGTTTGCGATGAGTAATACAAAGCAGCATTGTAATGGAGAATAAAACGATATCGGGTAATTGGAATCTAATAGGCTGGAGCTTCCTGTGATCTCCTGAATCGTGAGTCATGTGTTTTTATCCTGTTCGGGTAGATAAAAAGTCCAAATGTTATGAAACACATCCATTGTGGATTCTCAAAGACGGGACTTAGATTTTCTTGAAACAAACTATTTGGGTCAAAAGTCCAAATAAAAACCTCAAATGCTAATTTGTAGCACTTCCATAATCGCTCCCACTAATAAAAAGTGACCGTTCTTACCACTTTTTACAGCTTGTGAGTAGAAATAAAGCAATTAAATTAACTACCCAAGAAAATGTTTTCTCCATTGACAAGAAAAAAAAATCTGCTATGCTCTCCATGTGGGTTTTATTTGGTACTCATCACAATCATTTAGCGATCCGGTTCCCCCCGCCTTTTTTTGGGAAGGGGGGGGGGCGGTGTCTGATGTGGGCACAAAGCAAATCAATTTTACATTTTGCTGCCACATTGAACGTGAAAATAGAACCTGAATCCAGTTAATTGTGTCGCATCTAATTTGGCTCACTCGCGCCTGAAATTACAGCATGGGGGGATCAAAGAGACTGGAATAACAATAAGCAAAAAAATAAAACGCAATTCCAATTTGTTTAACCCACTCGGAGAATGAAACGAAGGCGCGGGCCGATCAATGGAAATTGCGCTTAAATCCCAACCGTGCAATTCAATTGGGTTATGAAAATAACCAATGGATGGATAAATGATTCCGTTTGAATGAGGGGGGGTGTGGGGGGTGAGGCAAGCCTCGCTGTAATTAATCACAGAGTTGGCAGGGAGCCTCGTGGCCTTTGAGACACTGTGGTCAGGATGCTGTTTAGTGGCTGCTCAAATGTGGCTTTGGAGTGAAGGTGTTTAAGGGCAAAGGGGGGGTGGAGGCCTCCATCGGCGCATTCAAATGAAGTCTGTGACATCTTGGCCCCTTCGACACCCACCACTCCCCCTTTTCTCGCTCTCTCGCTCTCTTTCTCTCTCTAGCGCCACCTCTCTTTCCTCTCTCCCCTCCCCTCAGGTGAAGAGCGGCAGGTGTTAAAACCCCCTCTGCCATCGAGCCACTTTATTCCGAATGAATGCTGCCCCTGTCCACACATGGAGGGCTTTCTTCTTTTAGTCATCACACTGGCGGTGGTCAGTTTAGAGGCCTGCGAGAGACTGCAAGGAGGCCTTGCAGATCAACTGTAGACTTTGATGATGTGGACATGAGGCCTGGACAATTGATCAAATTCAGATTGACATCACAGTGTAGTAGAATGCATTTTTTTTTCCCAATTTGTTTTAGGGAAGAATTATCATACCAAAACATTTATCTGTAGAGAAAAAAAATTGGATATGATTCATTGTAATATAGATTAATTTATTGCTTGTGTTTGATTTTTTTTATGTATGGGAACAGAACACTGGAAAAAAAAAATTCTCATTCCTGTTTCTCACATCCAATGTGGAGAGCTCACTGAAGTCGAAAGAGTATGCATTAATCCACTTTGTGATGCTTGCTGGATTGACTCCACTTTTTTGTTGTTGTTGTTGATGATGAAACCTCGTCTTGTAAAAAGACGTGAAGTGTGGGCACTGGGCAAGCTATTTTTTTGCAGCGCAAGTGACATCGCCCACTATTGGCCTGGAATGCAAATTACAAGGGTTTCAGTCTGAATATAACTTCCAAAAAAATGGGTAGTTTTTAGAGGTTGAAAATCCACTGAAGACTAAATGCCCTGCCTTGTAGGGTGGTCGGGGTGGGGGGGGGGTCCTTCATTATGTCATTAGTGTCACGACTTTTTATTTCACAACTTCCCCGCAATCTGTTGTGCGAGCGGCTCGAGTTTGTGGATACTGTAATCGTGGGAAAAATAATGACAGTTATCAGTCGCACCCACCAAGTGCCCATAAAAATCTGTCCTCTGTTCTGGAAGATGATAATTATCGGTTGTACTGTCATTATCATTGTTGATAGAGCAAGTCTTGAAGCATTTCCCCCCCCCCCCCTAAAGTAATAATCCCAGAGAAATCACTTCAAATTGGCCTATTTTAGGGAGAGGGGGTGGGCAGCAAGGGGACCAATTTTGGTTATATTTCAGAGAATCTTCAAGTTCAGGCAGCACACTGGCATCTGTGCACATCAGGTTCGCACTGGCGTTTGCAACTTGCCGGTGCTTTATTTCAATGCAATGATGTAATTGGGCTGCTAATGACAGCGAGGGAATTTAAATGGATTTGATGAGTTATTCAGGTGGGGATGGAGGCACCGGGCTGCGGGTGCATCAGCTCCGTGCAGCCTGCGCCACAAGCCCGGAATGAAAAGCTCGTCCCGGATACGTTTTTTTTTTTCCGCCTCTTCGCATGCAAACAAACGCAGAGAGCATGTGTGGTTTCACCTCCAGCTTCTTCTGAGCTCCTCAGTAAGTTCTTGCTTTACTTTTAGTAGGCTACCTTCTGTTGTTTTATTTTATTTGTTTATTTTTTGTTACATGCGTAATCCTGCGTTTGTGTTTTAGCCAGTCGTCAAATGTAATTGAATCCGATTTTCAGGAATAGTCGCTCATGTTGTGGAAGGGTGGCCGCAACCCTTCCCCGACACAAAAATAAATAAATAAATGCAGACGATAGCGTTATAAAGCAGCCGGATTAAAAACACACAATTGCATGTCAGGTTGTATAAAAATAATACATGTGGATCCTCATGTGTAAATGCATAAATATATTAAGCTCAGACTGTTTCACCTTTTACGCTTGTGCAAGTGTAAGTGAGACCCCGAGCATGTGCAAGTGCTAAATGCACGACTAATTACCGGCCTACTTATGAAAATTGAACTCTGTGTTATGCTAATGCGACACATTGGGATCGTTAATTACAATGACATTCATCAAAGCGGTCAGTAGCTTTAACAAGCTTGGACGTTGATGATTTTCTTTTTATTATGATTGGTACATTTTTTAATGTTTATTACGAAAGCACATCGGGTATTTCCATTATATTAATGTTTGAGAAGTCGTTTTGACAAAACGAGCGTCATTTAACAAGACAGAAAACCATCAAATTATGTTCTCATTTTATTGTCGTTTTATTTGCGCCTCACAATGGTGTAATATTGGGTTCTCGTGACCAAAGTGGGTTGAGCTTTAATAACACGTCATCGGATGATCTGGTTTAAATCACATTTATACCCAAATAACAATAATCCTAATGTGAATGCGCTAATTGTCCTGATAATGACGATTGGAAGCCCTGCGCTTGTGTGTTCCGTCTTCCTTGCTCAGGTTGCTCGGAGGCAGCCGGCCAATGGGCTCGCCTCTCGGATCCAGCGGACCAATCAGCGGCCCCCTGGGATGAATATTCATGAGTGCCAGATTCAAATCTTTGGGGGAGTTTATCTCGGTCCGCAGCATCATACCTAGGACTTTTCACGGGAACAAACTGCATTTTCTTATGAATGGAAGTAGAAAAAAGAGGTTCGACTTAAATTGGGAGCCCTCCCGGTCTGGACTCAAACAACAAAACCAGGAGGAGGACGGGAGCCGCCGGAAGAGATGACAATGACCGCGATCCCAGAAAGTCTGAACAGTCCCGCCTCAGGAAAAAGCGTTTTCATGGAGTTCGGGCCCGCCAGTCAGCAAATGTCTCCGTCCTCCATGTCCCACGGACACTACCCCGTGCACTGTTTACATTCCGCAGGCCACGGACAGCACGACAGCTACAGCCCGGCCCCGAACTTCCCCCGAACCCTGGCCTACCCTTACATCAATTCGGTGGGAAGCCACTCCAACAGCCCGTACCTCACCTCGGTCCAAACGTACCAGAACAGCTCGGCTCTGCCTCAGACACGATTAGAGGACGCAGGTAAGCGCGTCGAAAAAAAAAACTCTCTGGCTTCGTCGATTGCGTAACACGGTTTGCAATTAATGCTAATTATATAGTCCACTTTCCCACCCACGTGCATTCATTATTATTTTTTTTTTCGTTCCAGCACCAGAAACGGCCAAGAACGCGGTGGTGGAGGGAGGAGAGGTGCGCTTCAACGGCAAAGGGAAAAAGATCCGCAAACCCAGGACCATCTACTCCAGTTTACAACTTCAAGCTCTAAATCGGAGATTCCAACAAACGCAATATTTGGCATTACCGGAGAGAGCCGAGCTCGCAGCCTCTCTGGGGCTCACCCAGACACAGGCAAGTCCACTCTATAGTGTGATGATATTAATTTTTTTATTATTGTGTATACATATGTTGTTATTGCACAACATTTATATTTTACTCTCCTCACTTTTTTGACATGCTTTTCCTTCCATATTTCTCGAACGGTTTTCACCATTCTTCTTCACTTCAATATATTCCCCAAAATCACGCCATTCAGGCTTGTATTTTTTTCTCATTTCAACAATTCAGTTTTCCCATATTTCCACCTTTTCACCCCCCCCCCCAAAAAAAAATCCCCGTTCATTCACAATGACACGGTCAACATTGCCATGCAGACGCTCATCTTTCTCATTGCTCATTTAGTTCACTTTGGGAATGACATTCAATATTGCACAATACCCACATACCAAAAAAATTCCACATTTGCCACTAATTTATTGCTCATTTTTCACCAGTATAATTCCATGCTATTCCATCTCATTGATCATTCCACATCTTTCAATAACATAATTTTCCACCAACATGTTGCACATTCTCACCAATATAATTCCATATTATTGCATAATATTCCGTATAATTCATTATCATTCCATATCCTTCAGCATCATTCGGTGTCATTCCATGTTTCACTAACATAGTACATTTTTCACCAAAATATTCACATCATTCCATATTATTGCACATTATTTATTTTTTTAATTCACTGTGCGTGCGTTCACATTTCCAGAAATGACAATTGTTATCGTTTATTTTCACAGATGAACCTTCCATCCACTCTGTATATTTTTAGTCAATTTTAAACCAAAGCAATCCTGTGAAAACATTTGTTTTAATCCCCCCCCTCCGCCATCTCACTTTGTTTACTTTTTGCAGGCGCGTGTATGTGACGTTCTCCGTATACGTAAAAGTGGCAACACGCCCATTTTCTCACGCTGCTTCTCTTTTCCTCGCACAGGTGAAAATCTGGTTCCAGAATAAGAGATCCAAATTCAAGAAATTGATGAAGCAAGGCGGTGGCACGATTGACACGAACGCGCTGACCACGGGTCGCGGACTCTCCAGCGGTTCTCCCACGGGGGCGCCCGCCTGGAGCACTCCGACCGGGGTGAAGACGTCAGTGGGCGCCGCCACGGGGTCCTACATCCCGGCCTACACGTCGTGGTACGCCGGCACGCACCAGGAGTCTATGCAACAGTCCTCCCAGCTCATGTGAACTCACTTCGGGCACCTTTTACGCACGTCACCGCGCTTGGACCCGGAGAGCGAGAGCGTGGGCGTTTGCCCCCCCCCCTCCCCCTCATCCTCCTCCGCAGCGGGCGCTTCATTCCGGAACCAGAAGAAGAAGATGACGCTGAGAAACTTGAAAGAGGGGATGACGCCCCGTATGAGCTGAAATCTTTCACAAGCGCTTTTTCTCCCCCCCGTCGCCCGACCATTTCCTCACACTGGCTGCTCTTTGTAATTTAAACAAAAACTATTTGAGGGATGTCATTGTTTACTTGTTGCTGATGACGACATCACTTTTCATTCATGACAAGGCCAATCATGAGTCTTTCTTGAACCAAATGATATCGATAATATTTGATCCACCCGTTCCCATTCAAAACATATTGTACAAACTCAAATGGTCGCTTACGTGTTTATTATTTAAATTAAATTATTGGGATTATTTGACGTCTATATTGAGGCCAGTCTTACGTTCATTTGTGTGTTTAAATTTCAGACAACCATGTGTTGTTAACGCTGCACTAACGCGAGCAAAAGCTTTTTTTTTCTACGCCCACAAATTATGTGAAGAAAGAAATATTCACCTGACAAGCATTTTATTTGTCACTGCATTTTGTAGATACGTTAAAAAAATGTTTTGTGCTCTACTGGCTGTGAAAGGTTTTTAGGCTTGCTGTATTCGTAAACATGTGTTTTAGTCCCCATAGGAAAAAAAAATCTAGTTTTGTATCGATCTCTTTAATTTATTGCCTCTATGTACATATGTGCACATTTTCACAAAGCAGTAAAAAGATTTAACTTATGTGAAAAACTTTGAGTGCATGTGTGTGTTGCACTGATTCATGGGAAGCGACACAAAGCCTCGTGCACATGACAACACTTTCTGCACACACACAAAAAAATGCCCGAAAACATTATTTATGATGATTTTTGGCTCGCAGCCATTTTGTATCGCTGTTGTTGCTGCTGCAGATGTTGTTGTCAACAAACTGACGGGGGGGGGGGATGAGGGGATTGTTCTTGGGATTTTCCACGCGAATTCTGGATTAATATCGCAATCGGTTTCCTTTTCAGTATTTTCTTCAAGTAAATCGAGCAACAACAACAACAAAAAAATTAAGGTCAATGGTGCGAGCTTTATTAAATAAGATATGACGACGAGCAAAGGCCACAAGGAAGGACCCCCAAGATGAGATTTGTGGGGTCCATGAATGAAATTATCATTTTTGTCATCTTTATTTGTCGTCCAATATTTGTCGAGCCGCACACGAAGCAGGCTCGCAGTTAGTAACAAGCAGATTCATTCATAATCATGATATATATTCACAAGTCATTTACATCTATTGCCATCGATATTGAAACACAAAAACATAGCCCACCTTCCACGGCCCATCTTAATTTAAGATTGGATGATAAATGATTTACAACCCAAAATATATCAACTTCTATGTGAGAATAACACCTCCAACACCTTATGTCAAATATAAAATTAATCTGAATGTTTTACTTACATTAATCCATGACAACCACGACAAATAAATTAAAATGATTCTTACCTAATCATTATTTTTGTTATTCCGGATAGATTTATCGACAGCGAGCGATCCATTAGAATGAGTCATTTCATCGTTTGTACTTCAACACTCCAACTACATACGATAATTCTACATTATTATTGTATTTTTTTAATTTTTTTAACATCAAATTATATATCCTGTCATACTTTAGGACGTTCATCAAATTTACACAAAATGATCAACACTCTAATTTTGAGTTTGTGCAGGATGCATGTCGCTTACATTTACATCAACTCGAAACGTCCACAATAAATGAAACACACTCACAAAAAAAGGGCAATGAGGCATACTTCGATGACATGTATTGAAATAAAACCGCATGGCCAATATGATGACGCCTATTAGTAGTAGTCTTCGTTTCTTCTTCTTATAACATCACGCCTTGCTCTTCCTTCTCCTATTTTTTAAAAAATATATATCTTTCAAATTTGCGTCGATCTCCGCGTGTTTTTCTCTCTCCGTGAAGCAAGCCCGCGTATTGTTGTGCTGTGCGAAACGCCAATTTGGTTGTACTTCTTCACCCGAGAAAGGCGCAGCTGCTCATCCAAGAGGGTCAGCGTTATTTCGCTTGCATTCTCTCTCCTTGATTACACGAGGCGAGCCCATCAAACCCGGCATAATTACAGTCATTTCGCCCTTATTTATTCTAATGCAGTTTCCCATCTCTGGGGTAATTATGAACAATTTTTGTTTCTCTCCCTCCTTCTCTCTCTCTCGCTCTCTCTCTCTTTCTCGCTTGCCTTTTTCCCTTCTGTCTCTCGCAGGATCTTTTTTGGCGCTGACAAAGGATACAGAGCTGTGAAAGAAATGCGCTGGTGCAAAATAGAGGAAGGGGGCTGGGGGTATGGCGAAATAGGTGAGCTGCTATATATGCAGGGTCTTGGCTTGGCTGCCTTGAACGTTGCAGTGTGTGAGCTTGCGCAAATTGCTTGCAGGTGGAGACTGCAGCAGCAAATTGTCAATGCAACGAGAAGCTTCAAAATGGCACAAGGCGCACAGGATAGACATGCAGAAACAGCTTGAAAATGCATCACCATTTCAAAATGCATGACATGAAAATGTATGAAATGACCCACCTTTCAGCTTTGAGTGATATACAAGCACCAAACGGCTCCAAAAAAGCGCTTAAATCCTAACATCACCCCCTCTCCAAAATAAAATTTAACGAAGAAAAAAGAAAAATCGGCCCTCGCTGCATGTTCTGCTCCAGAGCTCCGAATATGACTAGAAAACGCGCTGCTTTATTCCCCCTCTTTATAGCAGATGGGGAGAAAAATGCAGATTATTAGCATAAATGTTTACTCCTCATTACGCTGATGACATTGTGCACTCGAGGTCTTGGTAATCTTTGGGGCTGGGGTGGGTGGGAAATTATGAGTAATTTTTCCGCTGCAAATTTAAAGCAGCAGTTATCAGGCAATTCAGTCTAATTCGGATGTAATTATGCTTGAGTCAAGTTACTCGTTGGGCTGAAAACTATGCGTTGATATTGCCATTTATTGTGTACATGCAAGTTGGACAGTGTTGATGCTCGAGACTGTCTTGGGTAAAAATGACACCCCGTATTAGGAGGTCTGAAATGGTGCCGAATTATGGGAGTAATTGCAGGTTTTCACAAAGAGTGGAATTACAGTAGAGCGGAGAGGACAAATGAGGAAAAGGGAGTGTGGCATTTACAAGTTGCACAATCAAAAAGAGATGACACACTCGCTGCGTGGCCACGAAATTCGGTACGAGCTGCATGAAAAATAATGATGCTCGTGTTTTGTTTTTTTTTACTGTTCGAGTGGAATAAATTTGTTCATTATTGGGTCCATATCAGTAACAATGTTACTGCATGCCTGCGGTGTGTGTAGTAAGTGGTTAAATAATGCAAAATCGTCGTTACACATATTTTTATTGTCCACAAGTGATTTGACAAAACAAGTCATTCCGATCATATTCTATTTTTCATAATCATATTTAGTGAAACTGATGTCCACCCTGATAGTATTGGGGTAGTTGGCCCTTTCAAAAACCCTCTGACGTTTCCAGTGACATCACTATTTCAGAGTTTGTCAATTTTTTAAGGGAGCCTGAAATGTAGTTACGAACCAATATTTACACTTATGTTTAACATTTTCATCATGTGTGTAGTTCGAGACTGTCAAGCTTCACATGTCTACTCTATCTATCGAGCTAGCTAGTTAGCTAGCTAGCTAATTATCTATCTTCTATCACAGCTAGTTAGCTAGCTAGCTAGCTATACTGCAAAGTGAGGTCCATGAAATCCTCATCAAATGCTAACATTAGCCAAAAGAATGCCACCCTGTCAGTAAGCTATAGCTCATATCTTTTGCTGTTTGCATGTTCATTATCTGATTGGAGTTAATTTATTTTTAAAATGCGGGCGTTTGACCGATATGTAGTACTCTCACCAATTGTTTACACTTCCACCAATGAATATGAAATTGAATGGAAATATTCGCGGGTGGGGGGGGATGAAATGGAGATATCTCAAAGGCACTTTATGGTGACATTGGCTAACATTGTTTGACTGAGAATAAGCATCATTGCTGTTCCATTTGATTTAGGCCAGTGTGCATTCATGTGGTAATATTTCTGTACTTTCCCCTCCTCATACTCACAACTGTTTTGAATGTTTTCACCCTCTGTGTAGCCTGAGTACAGTATATCCATTTTTTAATTGAACAGTTGTGTTATGCATTTGGACCATAAAAGTATTAACCAAAGTAATCCAATTGAAATGCAGTTCTATGTCAACTACATCCACAATAGCAAAGAGACATTACATAACTAGAAATGGATGTAAATGACTGCTGCCTACCCCACAGGCAGCCTACTCAAAACAATTTATCATAGCGTTCCCATGAAATGACATGCGTCCAAATGTTAACCCCCCACACCCCACAAAAAAGTTCTTTTGTTTTGAAAGGGGAAAAAAAAACCCACAATTTGGAGAGACAAGTATTCCAAATGGTCTCGGGTTCAATGTCACCTTTAAATTACAAGGCCTCAGTAAACGTGGTGTTCAATTAATCTTTCACTCAAAGAGTCTATCAAGACGAAGAATGGTTATTGAAAGAGTGGGGATGATATATACTGTATAATGTATTTGTCCTGGTACCATACTGCAAAAAACAAAACAAAACTCAGTAACAGTTTTTCTTGTGGTTCAAAACGAAGGATGCCATTTTGTATATACCACCATTCATCATTTAAATTGAATATAACAGGAGTGTTTGAGCAAGTGTATAAACAAAAGGCCAACATGCAGGTGAAGCGTTTCACATTTGTAACCTACTGCCACTATACATTTAGTTTTTTCTTTATGTCGGTGTCAATTCTCAGTCAAAACAATCCACAAGGTTGCTCGCAATTTATTATTTTACCAAACACATGAATTGTTAGTTATTTTTGTCATTAACATGCTGCCAATGGTCTATCGACGACATGCATCAATCAATTTAGGGTTTAAAAATTTTCGCCATTACAGTACTTGTCTTATACGAGACGTGTGTGTGTGTGTGTGTGTGTGTGTGTGTGTGTGTGTGTGTGTGTGTGTGTGTGTGTGCATGCGTATGTGTGTGCGCGTGCGCACGCAAAACCTACTGTTATAAATATTACTATTATGAGGATGTGATTCATGACATTGTTAATATCCCTGCAGTATTGTACATGTGGATAGAGAGGAGGTAAGCGTTCACAGTAAACGTGTTTATTTAAATAACCATATGGAGCACTGTAATATAAAAACAAATAACAAAAATAAATAACACAAAACACAATTGAGTGTGATACAAGTCAATCAGACGCAATCAGTAGCTTGCGGTGGTAAAATGATTTTTGCACCAATCGCCTTTAAAAAAATAAATGTCATGAGCTAAAATTTATTTTCAGTATACAGCTGTGGAGGGGCGTGGGGGGATAAGGGACCGCTGCAAGATTTTCAGTTTTTCAAATTTTCCTGCACACGTGTGAGTGAAATTAGCAATTTGATTTGATTTTATACACTGCAGATTCCTCTTCCTAACATTCAGAGCCTTTCTTTGTAGAAAATGTCAACAGGTCCAAAAAGATGTTTGTGTTATTTGGTCTTTTACTCCCCCCACCCGACCCCACCCCCAGAGCTGTATATTACACAAGATAATGATGAGGTCAAGTAGAAAAAGGCACAATACAGTTAACATGTGCTACATCACTGACGGGCAAGGTTTGAATTTGGACAAATGAAAAACAAATAGCTGTCAAAAAAAAAAAAAACAATCCAGCATAATAGTGGTTCATTCATTCATTCCTGGACATAAACTGAATAAATAAATAGAAAAATAATTGTCAAATTATGGGTCTGTGTGTACGAACGGCAGGCAAACGTCCACAGTTTTGCGATGCTTCCGCGCGTAAAAGTAGGACCCAGTTCAAAAAATGAATGTAGCCTACACGTATGTTTTTCATCACCACAGTCCCCTTTGAAAAAAAAAATCGCTTTTTTTCTTTGTTCAGAAAATCGTCCCGGCAGTGATGGCCGGGTTGTGGTGGAGCATAGGTGGCTGCAGGTGGCTCATCGAGTTCGTGTTGGAGTACCACGAGTAGTTGGCCAAAAAAGAAGTGGACGACGAAGAGGAGGAGGAAGATGAGGGCGCGCTGCTGCCGTTGCTGCTGCTGCTGTTGGGGGGGCTGCTGCAGTTCGGAGGTAACGTGGAGCTACTCATGCCTTGAGTCTGTGGAAAGTCCCACGCGTTAGGCGGGGACGTGCACGGGGGCGACTCGCTGGTGGGGACGTGGTGCTCGGGGGCGATTTCGCCGTTTTTCCACAGCTTCTTGAACTTGGAGCGCCGGTTCTGGAACCAGATTTTCACCTATGGAGGAGATGACACGTTATTGCCGCTCTATTCCGTGGTGTTTTTTTTTTTTTTGTTCTTTTTGGCAGTCACCCACCTGTGTCTGCGTGAGGCCCAGGGAGGCAGCCAACTCGGCGCGCTCGGGCAGCGCCAAGTACTGCGTTTTTTGGAAGCGCCTCTGGAGCGCGGCCAGTTGGAAGCTGGAATAAATGGTTCGAGGTTTTCTGACCTTCTTTGGTTTTCCATTCACCATCCTGATTTCTGGCTCGCTCTCTTCTTTTTCTGCGGGAGGACATTGGAATGTATACTTTGAGGACGGTTCTGGCAGTGGGTGCGTAATTTAGATTTGTGATGGGGGATGTATCACTTTTTTTGTTTGTTTGTTTGTTTGTTTCCTTGATATCGTATAGTGCGCGCGCAAAAATGTGACACTGAACATGGATGTGTTTAAACTGAAGCGTGGAATGCGTTTTATTTTCGGTTAATTCATTTTTATGGGCGTGCGCATGCCAAGTTAGACTCGTTTACTGAATATGAATGTGCTCAAAAGCGTGGACTGTATTACGCTGTCCCCGTTATTTCTATTTATATGAGCGTGCGGATAAGATCAAATGTGACGTATTAGTTCCACAGTGGTGAAGTTGGCAACGTTTCAGTCACTTGTGGATGCGAGAAATTTATAAAGGAGCGTGCAAGGAGGATACAAAAATGCGACCGTTGAATGCGTGCGAATTCGATTTTGAAAAAACGATGAATATGACATAAAAAATCCAATGCTGTTATCGTACGTGTTATTCATGTTTTATATTCAAACTTAAGTGTGGACTGTATCAAATATGTATTTGGATGTCTGCCATTTCCGATTTTATACTGTGTTGAAGGCGATATCACAGTTTTTAAAAATATATTTATTTAGGCGCGTACACATTCTAATTTAATACTGAACTTTAACAATGTGTGTAAAGCAATAAGTATCACATTTTCTATAGATTGAGCACAGAATTTCCATCGCATACCGGTCTCGGCGGGAGTGGGTGAGGAGTTGGGTCCAAAACTGCCATACGTGCCGTAAGACGAGTTGAAGGCCGCCATATCGTAAGATTTGGGGTTGTACGGTCCCGCGCCGGGCCCGCTTCCGTGGTACTGGAAGGAACCGAGCTGCGCAAAGGGCGATCCGCCGCACGAATGTCCGTGCTGGGGGCTGTTGTAATAGCTACTGTCCGTGGCCGTGGACACCGGCAAGGTGGGGGACTCCTGCGACTTGTGCAAGCTGTGGTAGTTAGTGGAGGTCATCTGGTTGGAGTGCATATCAGTGCTGAGGTTCTCAAAAACGCCGGTCATCTCGAAATCTGCGCAAAGCTGGAAACGTGTCCGGAATGTGGTTGGGCTCTTTGTCGAGTGGAGGAAAAAGCATCCCAGTGTGGGAAAGAGAGTCTCCCTTCCACGGTGGCCTGCGATTATCTGCCACGGTCTCTGGAAGCAGCGCGTTTATGAGAAGGAGGGTGCAAGTCGGGCTAACCAATGACGAAAGAGGAACAACACTGACTGCTTCTCATGCTTCCGCCCTCCTTTTTTTTTTAGTTTCTCAACAGTCAGAATTGTGTCAAACACTCAGTACCACCCTGCTTCTATTTCCATGGTTCGCAAAGTATTTACGCCAAAGTGCTGGACGATCTTAAAAAATAATCTAATTGCATTTTTCCCCGCTCAATATTGCGATTGCGATTCTATTTCTGTCACTTCTGAATCCTCTCAGCTCCCTGTGGCCCCTCTGCCATTCAAAGGCAGCTCCTGCGTTCAACCTTTTTTTTGTCTTCCTTACTTTTAGCTTTGGTTCCTAACTAGAAGTGGATATTACGCTGTAGTTTCAGCAAAGCTCATCAGGCCCAAGATATCTGCTAAAACAGTAAAAGCGCGAATCCACAGGGGAAGTGCCCATCAATATCATAAATGTCAATGACATAAATGTCATTTTATTTGGTAGGTTTTTGGTTAATTTTATTTTGGTGTAAAAAAAAAACTAAACACAAACACCATAAAGATCTGATATGGAATGCAATATGAGGTTAAATTCTATGTACTGTGGCTCTACTTCATCGCGGTTAAACGCAATAGAACCAATACTGTGGTTCTCTCGTGTGGTAGAAGACGGCATTACACGTATTTGTGATCTTATTTTCCCGGTTGCGACATGAAAAAGGAAGACCGAGGGAAAAAAAGACACTATCTTGTCATGACGACTTTAAATCTCGTCGTATTGACTCGTAATGATTCGTCATAATGAGTTGAATTCTCGCCAGGATGGCTTTAAACTCGTCACGACGATTTTTAAATCTCGTCTTGTGGTACGCCGTCGTAAAAAAATAAAGTGAAAATAAGTGATATTTTTAAACATGCGCAAATGTTTTATGTTTTAACGTGTTTTGTTATTTTAATTTGTTCCTACTCCTTGTCGGCACAGCGGGTAAAATCTTTCTTTGAGGGATATTTCTGTTGTAGTTTTTTTTTTTTTTTTTACTGGACTGCAAAACCGAGTTCAATCGTCACACGACAATGAGATACAAATAGAATTTTGTAACATTTCAACAGCTGAAGTGACACTTTAAATAAATAAGATAATCAAAAAGTTGTAATACTATTATCGGTATTCAAATAAAATTCTTATTATTATCATTATTATTATTATCATTATTATTATATTCCCCTTAAAAGATACCTCCCCGGTCCCCCAGTCATTTTCGGTCTGACTCCACATTATTGTTCAGAACAAAACCAGTGACTATATATTTTCTACCACAAGGTGGCAGTAAAGCTTTTCACGAGAACATGTTGGGAATCCCAACCAGTCAATTGAGCCAAGGCACATCGTAAACAAATCGAGTCTCACGCCACACCAACACTAAACAAAAATATTACCAAAAAGTGGATGCGCAGTTCAAAAATAAACCTTCTGCCATCTAATGTAAAAGTATTTAATTGATCTACTTGTCAGGACACATCGTTGACGCTCTTTTAAAAAAAAAAAAAAACAAGAGGAAGTTCACACTGCTGGTTCAGAGCTCTGCGTGTGTCTCCCGCATTGTTTCCTTGAAAAGCTCCAGCCCATTTGGACCGCATGTCACTGCTCATTAGTGGAGCATGTCTCTTCATTCATTGCTTCATTCATTCACTGGGACTGGACTAAGCAGGAACTACCCAGTTCAGCATTGTGCATTGCCAGATTTCTTTCAAATGTAGGTTAAGTAAAAAAAACAAAACAAAACAAAACGCCATGTTCCAGAAACAGAGTGAAGAGATGAAATAAAGAAGCTATGCTTCATAAAGTACACCTGCACAATCTAATGGATTATTTAATTGATTTTGCCTTGACATGGTGAATGCATTTTTTTTTTCATGATTTATTTCATGGGAAGAGACTTATTTTGAAATCCAACTAATCAGAAGTCGGCCTCCAGGGCTGCGTTGTATTCCACCCTGAATTTTCCACTCTTATCGAATCAGCTTTGAATCCGAAGGTCTTACAATGTTAAAACAGTAGCGGAAGAGTTCTTGCTCCGTGCAACTAAATAGATCAAACGGTGGCTCATCTTGTTGAGCTCCTGCTGTGAGACTTGAAGCATTCATCTCCATGGCAACGCACCCTTTTACCACACCATGTCAGCTTTGTCATTTCAAATACTTTAAGGATCTACGCCAAAGGTAGAACTCAGCGGCTAAATTGTAAACATGGAAAGGATCCGCCGAGTGTCCCTTGACCTCTTTGTTTGAGAGCTTGCGTATGTTCCGCAGCGCTCCGGACGCCGGTTTTTGTCAGGGAGCGTCCACCAGGGTATTCGCCATTGAGCATGTGTTTCCTAACAATCAGTCTCGGTGCATTATGGGCTGGGAGGAACTTATTTTTAACAACAAAAGGCTGCGAGATGACAAACAATTGAAAGGAAGTTGAAGTGCGCTGACGAGGCAGCGGCTGGAAAGCAAAAGCTTGGAGGCTTGATTTCATCAAGAGCTTTTGCTCATGTTGATGGATGATTTTGATCC